AAAAAAAAAAAAAGGGAAGAGAAAGATAGTTAGCAAAAAAAAAAAAAGTAAAAAAAAAAAAATTAATGGGCAATAAATCTTTTAAGTTCATTTATTGTCTAAATCATGAGCTTCTCTGATATGTAAATGACCTCCAAAACAAAGTGCCCTGGACGGTCGAAGGAGTCGGACCTTGGTCCCAAACACAAAGTGCCCTCGACGGTTGAAGGAGTCGGTCCTTGGTCCCAAACACAAAGTGTCGTGGACGGTCGAAGGAGTCGGTCTTTGATCCCAAACACAAAGTGCCTCTGACAGTCGAAGGAGTCGATCCTTGGTCCCAAACACAAAGTGACTCGAATGGCAAAATATGGCAGCCTTTGGTCTTGAGTTGGTTCATAAACAAATATTTTCCGAACTCATAAAATAATCGCAGCACAAATTCTTACTCTACACCAAGAAAATCTTAAACCTCAAAATCTTTGACTTGTCCGAAAGGTTGAATCCCTAAAAAAAATAAAAACGAAAAAGATGTTAGATCCAATCTTATAACAACAATACTAAAAAAAAAGTTACTGTTCACGTGAATAGTGTACGACATTATCCACGTAAACAATCGTTAAAAATTGAGAAAGAAAGAGAAAGAGAGAGAGAAGGAAAAAAAAACCAAACAATTTTTTTTTTGTTTCCGCCGGGCGAAAATCATTAAAAAAAAAAAGGTGAAAAGAGGGAGGGAGAGAATAAAAAAAATATAATCTAATATCTCTTACCTTTATCCGCAAATTGAATCTTTTGCTTCAAAATTTTATAATTCGTTCCTATAAATAGGTAAGTATGAGGTTTCACTTAAACTCAACTTACCATAAAACATAAAAAGTCTAGTAAATAAATAAATCAAGTAAATCAAGAATTGTGTAAAATAAATAAATAATCGAACAACGATTACTACAAAAAAATCGAAAATCGAGATTTACTAATTTATTTATTTCATAATAAATTTTGAGGGGGGTATTTGTAGACATAAATAAATAAATAATGGGTTTGGTCAATTTAAATAATTAGTTCAATTAAACTAAAACCTAATAAGCCCATAAGATTTTAAAAGCTCACCCTACTTTTTTTAAAATCCACAATTATTCAATTATGATCAATTTAATTGAATTAATTGAGTGGCTACCAAAATTGGCCAAGAATTTCTCCTATAAATAGGATGAAATGTCCATTGAAAAAGAGAAGTAAAAAGTGAAGAAGAAAATCACGAAATGCTAAAGAAATCTCAAAACCAGAGGGAGAGAAGAAATCCTCTCAACCCAAAGTCCGGTGAATACGAAGAAGATCAAAATTTTCTTCAAATCAAGCATACCAAGAAAATCAAAATCTTCTTCAAAT